GGGGAGAGGCGGCGGATTTACTCACCTCCCCATGCGCGCGCATGTTGCATTAGCGATTTTTTGGATGGAGGGTCACTTTCTTCTCGCGTCATCGTAGCTCGCCCGTCCTTCCAGAAATATGGTGGATAAGATTATGTTGCATCAAAATCACGTATTACATCTCCAAAAGTTCGTTGGGGGGGCATAACAGTTCTCTGCGCTATCTTAACCAGAGATGGAGAACAAAAAGTTTAAGCTGCTTGTTGCAAGTTCGCGCTTAACAGCCGCGATACAGTTAGCATCCCTACTTACTGCAAACAAACTCGACTATGCGATTTGCAACTACGCATCCAGCAATAATGCGCAAGGAATTCCATGGTGATTATGGCATCAGAAGCCGTTTCTATAGCTCGACTCCGGACAAAATCGATAAAATTCATACCAGGGGAATGAATGAGCGACTACGTAGCCCTCTTCAATTTTGATTTGCCTTGTCCTAAAGCGACTTGGCGTATGGTCACGTGACTTCAAAGCCACGATGGTCCCAACCTTAGAGTCGCCAATGCGCGACATCAACGTTTTTAACTTGCCCCATTCTTGTTTTACGGGTTATCTGGAGCGCAACTCCACTATCGCTCGAAAATATACACTGCGAACTCTTCCATAGTTATATGAGGAACGGTAACAACCACCCCTTCGCTCGTTGTGGCCGAGATCGTGCATGACCGTTGTGGTCTTATGCATCCTACCGTTTGTTATTTATATCTTCGCCCGTTTCCTTCCGCTTCCAATTGCCTTCTCTCTATTTTATTTTAAGAAGAACTCGACTAGAATAATAGAAATAAGATGTCATCTGCGACGGCGTCCGGCGCGGATGCAAAGCCAAACGGCTCAGCGAAATCCAGAGAACATAACCAAGGGAACCAAGACCGGAAATTCACTCCAGAACAGAAAGCGGCAGTGCTACGTGTTCGGAAATGTTCGCCGACTGCATTCTATGAGATTCTAGCTCTAGAGAAGACTGCGTCTGATGGAGAGATAAAGAAGGCTTATCGGAAACTGAGTTTACTCACACATCCTGATAAAAATGGGTTTGACGGAGCGGACGAGGCTTTCAAAAGTATGTTCAATTTATGTTCATGTTTCAATCTCGGCAGATATTCCATCTGATAGTTTGAATTTCGCCGGATATAACATATGTCTGAAAATATAAATGGAGGCATTCTTCACCAATTTGGGGAGCCTGACTAATGCCTTCTTTCGGTTAATTTTAGTGGTATCCCGAGCATTTCAAATACTATCAGATTCCGAGAAAAAATCGAAATACGATAAGTTCGGCGGAGATCCCGATAATAGATTTTCAACGGGGGCTTCATCGTCATCTTCGCCGTTCAGCGGATTCAGCGGATTCCCTCAAGGGAGGGGTGGAGGGCCAATGTTTGATGAGGAAATATCTCCCGAGGAGTTGTTTAACAGGTTTTTTGGAGGCGGCGGCTTTGGTCCTTTTGGTAATAAGTCCTATCTTATATCAGTTCCATTGTGGGAGTATGCAGTTACTAATAAAAGCAAATAGGAGGCGGAATGTTTGACACTGGCCCTCAATTTGTCTTTAATATGGGAGGCGGCCCCAATATCCGAGTTCATCAATTTGGCGGCTCACGACCCAGACGAAGACCTCGTGAGGCAGAGAATCAGTCAGGTGCCCAGGCTCCCCCCGCTGGCTTGGCATCATTTGCACAGTTCATTCCAATCCTCCTCATATTCTTCCTCCCGCTCCTCACCTCTCTGTTCTCCGGCTCAACCTCCTCCGGACCTTCTCTCCGATTCGACAAAGCTGTGCCTCCCCATACAATGCACCGTACAACACCGAAACTCAGACTAGACTATTTCATAAATCCCGCCGAGGTGGAAGATTTCAGTGCGCGCAAATTCTACCAGCTCGACCACAAAGTTGAGGTTGATTATGTATCAAACCTACGGTATGACTGCGAAAGAGAAGTTCAAGCGCGCGACCAGATGATACAAGATGCTCAGGGCTGGTTCTTCCCTGACGTTGAGAAGCTGAAGGAGGCACGCTCGTTGGAGCTTCGGAGTTGCAAGAAGTTGAATTCGCTAAATCTTTAATGGGGCGGACTTGTTAGGCATTTCCTCATATGTGCTCCTTATTGCTAATGATATAAATAGACAATAATATTCTGTTTCTTTTTGTGTATGATTGGGGTTTGGCGTTCCGCGATTAGCATCATGACCCAGGGATACATGTCTTTGTGCTCATTTCCTCTTCACATTTTCTTCTTCCATTTCTATTTTTGCTTTCGTTTTTCTTCCCTTGAATATTGTAAATAATTTGAACATTCTTATCGCTTGACTTCTTAACATATAATATAATGTCTGGTGATTTTTTCTTTTTACTGGTTGTAAACATATCGCA